AAAAAAGTGGGAACAGAATGGGTAATGAAAAAGCAGAATGAAATTGAATATGAATATGAATGGTTGAAATATATGCAGATTTTTGATCTTTTTAGATCAGATAAAAGGAAATATGGTTTTAGAGAGGAAAAAAATGAGATTGAAATGATTTGGGAGAGAGGAGGGGGAAAAAATATTTCTAAAATGTACAAAGTGTTACTTAAATGGTATACTGAAGATGAGACTGTAAAAGGGCAAATGATAAAATGGGTGATAAATATGAATACGGAAGTGTCTATTGAAACCTGGGAATATTTGTGGAAAAATTCTATTAAGATATCGCCTTGTACCAATGTTAGAGAGAATTGTTATAAAATGATGTATAGGTGGTACATGACTCCGAAAAAAATTGCAAATATGAACCAGAATATGTCAAATAAGTGTTGGAAATGTAAAAGCCATGAAGGCTCATTTTATCACATGTGGTGGACTTGTGAGAAAGCTGTTGACTTTTGGACAAAAGTCCACAAAGAAATGCAAAAAATACTGAAATGCTCTTTCAAAAAGGCGCCGGAAATTCTGCTTTTGGGACTGAAAATGGAAGAAGTCAATACAACTAAAAAGACTTTATTCTGGTACTTAATCACAACAGCGAGAATGATTTATGCACAATTTTGGAAAACAGAGAAAGTGCCAGAAATTGAAGACTGGATACAAAAAGTTCTGTTCATGGCAGAGATGGACAAAATTACGAAGAAGTTGAATAATAAAGAAGATGACGTGTTTTTTCAAGAATGGAGTGATTTTAAAACATATCTGGAAAAGAACTGGGATGTGAAACAAAACTTAATATGTTTAGATCAATATTAAGTCAAATGATGTTATCTTTTGATTGTAACGATAAGAAATTGATATAGCTGATGATATGAAGCAATTTGGAGCAGGGGGAGAAGCATTGCGGGAAGCCACCGGAGGGAGGGGAGGAATTGGGAACGGGGTAGACAATTGATAGAACGAAATGATTTAATTTTATATGTTGTATTCCTGAAAAAATAAAATTTGTTTACCAAAAAAAAAAAAGAAGCATTTTATAGACCAGAAATAACAAAGTTAACATACTGTGACATATTAGATTTTTCCCAAGGGAATTGTAAAATAAAATCAAGAGACGATTTGGTAACAAAAGGATATACTTGTCAATGGTTTTGTAATGCACAATTATTAGAAAGGTTTAAAGCAGATAAAAGATCTTATAGATCTGAACAAGTGAAGACTGAATTTGAAGAATTATGTACAAATGACAAACATGTTATTGCTAAAATGTATGAATTCTTGTTGAAATTTGAGACAAAGAACATATGATAAAACAGGCTACAAACTATGGGTATAACATACAAATGGAACAATGGGAAAATATGTGGCTGAAGGGTCTTAAATTTACATTAAGTTCTAGTCGCCAAGAGATTTTTTAATAAAATGATGTATTGGTATAGACCACCAGAGAAATTTGCTATAATGTACAAAAAGCATATCAAATGTGTGTTAGACATGAGAACATCATGAAGGGACACTATCAGTTATGGTGGACTTGTATTAAAGCTAAAAAAACCTGGATACAAATACATTCATTAATCCAGAAGATTCTAAAGACTAATGTACAAATGAAACCAGAGGCCTTTCTATTGGGACTAATGGACAGGCAACTTGAAAAAAGTCATGGAACTTTGTTCTTATATATGACAACAGCAGCGAGAATATTATATGCTCAAAAATGGAAAAGCTCAATAATACACACAATAGAGGAATCGCTGATGAAGATGTTTGAACTTGTGGAGATGGCCAAACTTATTTCTTTGACCAGAGAAAGGACAATATCTACATTTATTGCTAACTGGAAACCCTTGATAGACCTTTTGCATGAAACAGAAAAAAATGACCAGATGCTTTGTGGTTCTGAGAATTAATGGGAAGAAGTTCAGTTAATAGAAAAAAAAGAGAACCCCTTTTCCTTTGCAATTATAAAGTGATAAGTTTGTAATTCTATTTATGTTTGTTGTAGAGAAAATCAGAACCCCCTTTTATATTCCTTAATGCTCCCTTTCTTCTTCTTTTCCTTTTATTTTCTAATTTTGTAATCTTTTTCTTTATTTCTTTACTATCTAGTTTCCATTTCTATTAGCCCTTGCTGTATTTTTATCTTTTGTTATAAAAATTCTTTCAAAAATTATTGTAAAAAAAAATCACAAATGAATGCCAGATTATTACTGTCCCTAGTTGTCACGTTTATACACCTTATTTCCTGAAATAGGCCAGAAAAATTAACACCTTCTCATTTCTGTGTTTCCACATGTCCATTCCTCCTGCCTTCTAATACAAATAGGCAAGAAGGGCCATTGATGTTGTCTAGAGGAAGAACCCTTTCCCTCTTCACATAGAGCTAGAGAGACTGAGTTCAGAATGTGTAAGCTTGGGTTTTCCACTTAACATTTCAGATGCTGTTTGAGCATGTTAGTGAGATACCACCTCATCTGTCAATTACTAAGCATCTCCCCCCATGGCAACCTTGCAAGAGATCAAGAACCTAAAGAGGTAAGTCAAACAGAGGACCAACAATAAAAACTTAATGTACATAATATAAAAATACATGCATTTATTAGCAAAGAATTAAAAAACACATAAAGGCCCAATTACACCTCATATAAACATACCAAAATCTTATACACAAGGGCCAATGGACTTGCCCTGATGCATTTTGGCCTGCATAGGCGTTCTTCAGAGGTCAAACACAATGAGGGACAAATTGGCTTATATCATCTTACAGTACAATTATACAACATAGATACAAAATGGACTAGAATTGTTCCAAACAATCATTCCACTAGGCATAGAATAAAAGTACAAACGATGCCTCTAAAAATGCAATCACATGCCAAATGAAATCTCACTGATAATTTCTGGTCCAGAAAGTGCCTTCCAATGATTGCTTCGTTCAAGCCAAAGCATCCTCAGCAAAATTGTCCCTAAGGGATATAAGCCCTTATGTAATTGGGCCCTTATGTGTTTTTTAATTCTTTGCTAATAAATGCATGTATTTTTATATTATACACATAAAGTTTTTATGCTTGGCCCTCTACTCTGATTTACCTCAGAGTTCTCTCAGCCCCACCTACCTCACAGGGTGTCTGTTGTGAGGAGGGGAAGGGAAAGAAGTTTGTAAGCCACTCTGAGACTCCAAGTGAAGGGCGGGGTATAAATCCAATCTCTTCTTCTTCTTTAGGTTCCTGATCCCAGGTTCCGGGGTCAAGTTTGTCCCCCCCCCCTTTTTTTGTCCCAACCTTGCAAGAGGGACATCTTGTGTAGGATCTGAAAAGAACCTGAAGTAGTACTCTGCTTAGTATTATAGTACTATACCTCAATTATGTTTGCCATATATTGCACATGGCCTGCCAGCTCTGCAAGCTCTTCATTCTCTTTCTTTAGACAAGCAATTTCAGCATCTTTGAGTTCAATTTCTTTGTGCAGCTGGAAAAAGCAGACAAGGCTTTAAACAATGGCATTCATCAAAAGCACCTAATTCCCCTCCCCCATTAATACCACAATTACCCTTTCATTCTCTTGCAACACCTCGTATAGAGCTTTCCTCCTCTCTTCAGCCAACTCTTTCCAATACACAGACGAAGGATTGCCTGCAAAGAGTTAAGACTATTAACATTCAAGAGCAGATGTTGCTTTGATTTTGATTTAGCGGATTTGCTTTGATAGCTAAAAGGAAATACCATGTAAAAAAACGGTTCTCACCTAATTACCGAGGACAGCCACTGACACAACTAGAATGCTGAACAAGGTAAGAGCCCCACTGGGTGAGACCTAATGTTTACGATGCCATCAAGTTATCAGAAATTCAATATTAATCTAAGCATTGCACTTATGCCATTTATTATTATGATTTAATGGAATATCTTCATTGATAAATAAGTTCTATACTTTTAGATTTCTGATGCAAAACAATACTAGTAGGAGCCATTTTTTCAGCCCTTTTTCTAGTGTGCACCTGAGTCAGACAGTAAATGGTTAATGCTGTAACCCAGTCAGAGAACCCCGAGTGACAGAGGAGTCATGTAGAATTCTTCAGCTGAGAGGGTCAATTGGGAGTTGACAGTTAATAGAGGGGGGAAGAGTGAGACAGACTGTGAGAGGATCAAGGAGAATCCTGAGTTAGGGAAGTGGGGCGCACAGCCCACCCCTAACAAGTCTGAGAGAAATAGCTCTTAGAAGACTGTGTGTGTGGGGGTGGGGGTGGGGGGGTGATCCTTAGCCAATGGATTAGGAAGGAAACTGGAACTTGTATGAATATTCCTGCCTTCACCAACTTTTTTTTTTTTAAACCTCGGAGGGGTATTTTTATTTTTTCAATAAGACTACAAACTATAAAGAAACATATAGGAGGGGAAACTACAACTATGGAGAAAGAAAAGGTACCCACACTAACTAAAAACCCAAGAGTGGGAGACCCCCTTCGTGTTAAGCTAAATATTAGTATTAAAAGTGTTAGTAAAACAATATACTTGTAGAGTTCTTGTTTTTCACATTTTCTGTATTAGTAAATTATTTTGAGAGAACTTTCTGAGCATCTACTTTACTTCAAAGAGCCATTTATCAGAGTCCTTCGGCTCTTACTTTGGCTTTCTGTCTCTAAAATCATATACAGTTTTCATTGCTCCCGCACCCGCTTCTGCTGCAGAGTCCTCATCCGTTCCCGAGGCAGCTGAGTCACTTGACTTAGTTTCCTCCTCCTTAGATTCTTCCCCCGATCCCAGCTGACATCTCAAAACTTCTTTGGCTTTGAAGATGGAGTCTATCTTCTCCCTTCTATCGATGATTTTAAAGATGACACCTTCAGGGATCCCCCACCTGTACTGTACTCCGTTTGTTTGAAGGAAAGAAATTAAATCCTTATAGCTCTTTCTCTTCTGACGAATTTCAAATGGAATGTCTTTTAAAGTCTTAATAACTGTATTCCCCAGTTTCAGTGGAGTTGCTGAAGTTGCCTTTAGTATGGCATCTCTGGTCTGTCTTGCAAATCTCACCACAATCTCTCCAGGCAGGCTATTTTTTTTTAATATTGTTGGAGTATCCCCTGTAGGCTGTCTCCATATCTTTTATTAGCTTGAGGTGTCCATCTCTGTAACTTTCTCAGCCACCAGCTCCACTTTTTTTTCCGTTTCTGCCAGCTGACGCTGTTGTAAAGCGAAGTTTTGATTTAACGAGGTCAGTTGCTGGTTAATACCATCAAGCTGATTCATCAATGGCTTGAGCATATCCGCTAACAGCTTCATGACGTCAGCTCCCTCATCGGGCCTCGGACTCTGACTTCCAGGCTTGGCTTTAAACTTTCCTCGAGGCGCCGCCATTTTTCAATTTTGTTTACACTTTCAAACCGCTTCTCCCGGGCTCGAAGTACTCGTCAATTCGCTTTTTGCACTCAAGTAAGACTCAAAAAACACACGCTGTCTTTTTCCTCCCACTCCCCCTTCACTGTGATTTATCTGTCCATGTGCTTTAGAGGCATCCCTCTTTGCGCTCCGCTTTTCCGGGGGTGTGTGGGGGGGTGCCATTTATCAAAGTTCATTTACTTAGAACTCACGTTCATTGTTGGTCATCTTGCTGACCTCGCTCACATCAATCATTGTTCCGCTCGGCCTCCCTTGCTTGTCCTGGTCGGGTTAGCTTGTGCCCTAAGGTCACTCATCGGCAGGACCGTCAGAGCGGAGGGAAGCCTCAATTCTCCGGCAGCAGGCCGTTGAAGAGGCTATCCCTCAAAAGCTCTCTGGCCTGGAGCCTTTCACAAGGGCTCTGTGGGAGTGCCACTTGAGGTGGCACCCCTCCATGCCGACGGTGTGCTAATCGCCTCCCCAAGCTCTGGGGAGAGCGACTGCCATCGCCAATCCATAGACCGGAAGTTCTGCCTTCACCAACTTGAGGGTCTGTGAGACCAAGAAAGCTTATGCTTGTTTATGTAGGCACAGACTGCTAAGAAATCTCTCTCCTCAAGTTTTAAAGACCTGTCTGAACAACAGAAACAGTTACTTGTTTGTGACAAATTATCTGGTAAAATTTATTTTTATACACAGTTACCTGATTCCTTGCCTGTTTACCACATAATTCCTAAACCTATTTGTTAGTTTTCATTTACCATCAGCCTCTCATGTACCATTATAAAATAAGGACAAAAGAAGGATTTTAGTTTCTCCTCTCAGTTCTCTAGACTGGGCCAGCATTTACTAATATACATTCAAACAACTGGGTGGGACAGCCAGGGAAAAACAAAGATGACAGGAAAAGTGGCTGCTCAGCTAAGAATAAAGTGAGATCCTGTGAGGGAGAGTAGAATCCTCATATTTGGTGGCAGAATTGTGATCCAAAAATAAGACCCACAACAAGTTTGCCCCACCATAAACACAAAATAAAATAAGAAAATCTCATAAATTCATGAAGAACTTAATACTAAGTCAAGGGGAGGAATTACCTCAGAATTCCTGTCAGAAATGGCACCACCACGCAGACCCAGAGAACCACATGGGGATAATCATGGAGAGGAAGAAACTACAGCTGGGGAAAGTCCTAGGCAGGAGGTTGAAATCATGAGAATGAAAACTGAATTGGCTAAAATAGAAGCATTAAAAGAAAAAGCCGGGATTGAGAGAGGGAGGGAGGAAGCTGAGAGAGAACATGAAAAAGAAATGTATGCAATGAAGATGAAGGAAATGCAGTTGAGAGCAGAAAAGCAGGTTGCTTACCAGTAACTGGTGATCTTCGAGTGGTCATCTGTGCATTCACACCCATGGGATTCATTGCGCACACGCTAGATCGATCGATGCTGTAGCAAGCTCTTTTAACGGATTTTCGCGCCCAGTCCCTCGGGCATGCGCAGGAACCCCACCGCGCATGCCCAGAGGGGTGGGCGCAGACATCCCGCCAGTTCCTACAAACCGCCGCAAATCAACCCCTATTGAAAATGTAGAAGCTGACAGCAGCGGGGAAGGAGGGCGGGTGGTGTGAATGCACAGAGGACCACTCAAAGATCACCAGTTACAGGTAAGCAACTTGCTTATCTTCGACGTGGTCTCTGTGCTTCACACCCATGGGAGATTAGCGAGCAGTAGCCTACTTGGAGGAGGGTGCTGGCAGGTCTTTTACTGCGTAGCCGAAGACAGAATGTGACGTCCCATGTTGGTATTGGCATTGGTATGGACGTCTAGGGCGTAGTGCCTGATGAAGGTGTTAGGCGTGGCCCACGTAAAAGGTAAAGGTTCCCTTGCTCGAAAGCCAGTCGAGTCCGACTCTAGGGTTACGGTGCTCATCTCCGTTTCAAAGCCGAAGAGCCAGCGCTGTCCAAAGATGTTTCCGTGGTCACGTGGCCGGCATGACTAAACACCAAGGCGCACGGAACGCTGTTACCTTCCCACTGTAGTGGTACCTATTTATCTATTTGCAATTTCTTGCTTTCGAACTGCTAGGTTGGCAGGAGCTGGAACTAGAGACGGGAGCTCACTCCATCATGCGGCACACTCGGGTCTCGAACTGCTGAACTACTGACCTTCCACAGCCTGCAGTTCAGCGTCTTAACCACCTGAGCCACCGCAGCTCCTGTGGCCCACGTAGCGGCTTTGCAAATGTCCGGCAGTGGCACTCCCTGGAGGAAGGTAGTGGAAGTTGCAACAGCCCTGGTAGAATGAGCCCTGATAGGGCCAGGCAATGGCTGTTTGGCGAGTAGGTAACACAGATGGATTAGACCTACAATCCACTTTGACAGGCGCTGGGCCATGATGCCGGAGCATACGAGACGAATAGTTGTGAGTCTCGTCTAGTTAGATGTGTTCTACTGAGGTAGAACAGGAGAGCCCGCTTCACATCCAAGGTGTGTAATAATCTGTCCTCCGCTGACGTTGGGTTTGGGAAGAAGTCAAGGAGGAAGACCTCTGCTTGCAGGTGGAACTCTGACACCACCTTCAGGAGGAAAGAGATGTCCGGAACAAGGTGGGAGAAAGGACAGGAAAGGCGTATCGTGCCGGAAAGCCAATATTTCTCCCACTCGCCTAGCCGAGGTAATGGCAATTAAAAAGGCAGTTTTCCATGTGAGGAGTTTATGGTCACATGTTGCAAGCGGCTCGAAGGGCTTCATCGTGAGCTGGCGTAGAACTAGAGGAAGGTCCCAGGGAGTGACTGGAGTTTTGACAGGAGAGTAGAGGTGTAATAACCTTTTAAAAACCGTTTGGAAATCGGATGAGAAAACAAAGTGCATCCATCAACTGGAACATGGTAGGCCGAGAGAGCGGCCAAATAAACTCTTAACGATGAATGGGAAAGTCCCGAGTCAGCTAAGGAGAGGAGGAATCAGAAAACTCTTTCGAGACCCACTGAGGAGGCTCGAGGGGCGTCATCACCTAGGGAAGAACAGAATCTTCTCCATTTATAATCGTAGGACTTGCGCATAGTAGGCTTCCTGGAATTCAAAAGGACATTCACTACACGGGAGGAGAAGCCGGTGATGTTATCTGCCATGCCGTCAGTTTCAACTGTGGTATGTTGTGATGTAGGACGGGGGGAGTCTGAGAGAAGGAGGAGGTCCTGAGCCGGGGGGAAGTGATGTTATATCCCCTGCGAGAACTCTAGGACCGCTGAAAACCAAGGTGAAACCCCACCATGGGGTTATTAAGATACAGTCTGCGTTGTCTTTGAGAATTTTGCGGACCACTCTCAAAAGCAGAGGTAAGGGGGGAACAGGTAGAGAAGTCCCGATGACCAAGGGTAAAGGAGACCGTCTCCCAGAGATTGTGGGTCCTTGCCTCCTCGACTGCAGAACAGAGGACACTTTTTGTTGTTTCTGCTTGCAAAGACATCGACTTGGGGAACTCCCCACTTGTGGAAGAGTGGGAGGAGGTATGTTGGGTTCATCCCCCACTCGTGAAGGCTGAGCCCCGCTCGACTTAGATGGTCTGTTCATGTGTCTTGGAATGTGAGTGGCCATGAGGAATATGTTGTTGGCGATGCATAAGTTCCACAACTGGATCACAAGGTTGCATAGGCGTAGGGAAATCATGCCTCCCTGTCTGTTGACGTACGAAAGCGCTGTGGTGTTGTTCGTCAGAATCGTGACACATTTTCCCTTGATTAAGGGGAGGAAACTGGTGACAGCATGTTGTATAGCCAGGAGTTCTAGGATGTTTGTGTCGCTTCCTCATCTGCGTGTTCCACTTGTCTCCAACAGAAAAGCCCATGGCATGTGCACCCCATTCCGTCAGGGAAGCATCCGTTGTAATGGTGACCTCAGGTGACAGAGGGTGAAAGGGCGCTCCCTGAAGGATATTCGAAGGGACAGTCCACCAAAGTAAAGAGTCCTGTATGCTGCGAAGAGGGGATAGGACGACATTTTGTGCGCTTTTTGACAGATCAAAGTTGCGGATAAACCAGAGCTGTAAAGGGTGCATTTTGAGTCTTGCAAAGACGAGGGCCGACGTTGTTACGGCCATCAGACCTAGCAGCCTCTGAATCTGGAAGGCAGTAATGGAGGGTTGGGTACATACGACGGTGGCTAAGGAAATGATATCTTCTGCCCAGTCGTGGGGCAGATACGCCATGCATGTCTGTGAATCCAGTATTGCGCCGATATACTGTATGCGCTGGACAGGGCACAAGTCAGCCTTTTGTTGATTGACTCGTAGGCCGAGGGTGTCCAGTAGTGCCAGAGTCTCTGTGACGTTTGAGACCAGGGTGTTTTTTGAAGGCGCCACCAGAAGCCAATCGTCTATGTATGGGTAGACAGACACGCCCCGGAGACGTAGAAAAGCTGCAACTACAATCATGGTCTTCGTGAAGACTCTTGGGGCACTGGAAAGGCCGAATGGAAGGGCCATATATTGATAGTGGTGTTGACCAATCGCAAAGCATAGGTATTGACGGTGGAAGGGGTGGATAGTAAGGTGGAAATATGCGTCTTGGAGGTCGAGAGTGGCCATCCAAACGTGTCGGCGAAGCAGTTGCATAATCTGTTGTAGGGACACCATGTGGATGCGGTGGTAGGTCACAAAACGGTTAAGTTTCCATAGGTCTAATATGGGTCAAATGCCTCCGTGTCTCTTCGGGACTCTGACGTATCGAGAATAAAATCCTGTCCCTTGGAGGTGTGGTGGTACACGTTCGATGGCTCCCTTCTGCAGAAGGACAGACACCTCCTCGAGGAGAGGTGGGGAAGGGGGTGTGGAGACGACGACAGGAGTATTGGGGTTTTGTTGGAACTGAATTTTGTAACCTCGGGTCAAGATGGAGAGCACCCATTCGTCTGAGGTGATGCGACGCCAAGCATGAAGAAAGGGAAACAGACAGGTAGGAGCTGACTCGGTGACTGGAATGTCAAAAACCCTGCTTGGAGGGTTTGGACTGTTTGGCGCGGGAAGTTTGTTGCCTGGAACCGAATTTTGGTTTCTGAAAGGCGGATCTTTGGCCTCCCAAAGACGTTCGCGGTCTCCATCGTGTGTTTGGAGACTGATGAGTTGGGGTATGTCTGTGCCAGGACCTCAACCAGGTGCGGGGATGGTATTGTTGTTGTTTTGCAGAGGACGAGACTCCTAGAGCTCGAGAAGCCTTTACACTTTTATCTAACTCTTGGAGAGTAGAATCAGTGGTAGCATTGAAAAGCCCCAGGCCGTCGAAGGGGAGGTCTTCCACATAAGACCTAGTATCTAACGGGAGGTTAGTTGTTGCGGAGCCAGGAATGTCTTCTGAGAGCTATTGCAGAAGCCATCGTTCGTGAAGATGCTTCGAGAACATGTTTAGTAGTGTTGAGCTGTTGTTTTGCCAACACCATGCCTTCTTTTTGGATGACTCTGGCCGCCTGAACTTTGTTGTCTGGGAGGTGTGTTAGAAGTTCTGAGAACCGCTCCCAGAGAGTGTATTGATACTGGTTCATGCAGGCCAGGTAGTTGGTGGCCTTGACTCCCAACGCTCCTATGGAGCAGAAGCACCTGCTGAAAGCATCTAACTTCTTACCTTCCTTGCGCAGGCACAGTCCCAGTGTGTTTCTGCACGAGAAGATGGAAGATGAATTCCAGTTGTTTATACAGATCTTGGTCCAGTAGTTGCATGTCTTCACATGATATTTTGGTAGCTGTGATTATTTTTTTTGAAAAGTCTACGTACCTTTTACCATGAGGTCAGAAGCTTGGATGACACCTTTTGTGTTTCTGTGTTCTGATGTTGCAGAAGCAGATTTGGACACGTTTGGGATAGACTGCTCACTCCAGAGTTTCCCCTTGATTGATGACTGAACCTACAATAAGTTTTAATGGGAAATCTCTCAGAAATGGGTACATTCTCCAGTGAACTTTCCCTCCCACACTCCAATCTGCTAGATAAAACTCAAAACTTATTTCCTTGAACACTATTAACTGAATATGCATCATCTGATGTGTTCTCAACAGCCAACTCCACACCTACTTAAGTCTATATGAAGTATATACTAGCAATTCAGTTTAATACTCAACACCGAAGGGAAACTGCACTGCAGCTTATGCAGCAAAGCATTAGCTTCCAAGCAATGTTTTTCAATAGTGGCACGTACCTTATTTGTCCTGCCAACAAGACACCCTGTAATAGACGGCTGTATCATCTTAAGGGTCTGTCTCTGGAATGGGCCATTTGAACTACCTGCAGAAGCCTGTTTTGAAAAAGAAATATGCCTACATTTAGACCATGATTCTACACAGTCTGAAATACATTTAGCCCTTAAACATTAATGCAAGTTACAGAATGCTACAGCACACTGTAGCACATGGATTTTGTAAAAAATTCTAGATCACAGGGAAGTGTATTCATCAGCTAATGTACACAGCCAGGCCAAGAATGATATTTAGTTAGTCAAATGCCATAGCCACACATGAACAGTTACTGTCCAAACCAGCTGAAACATACAAATCAAGTCATCTTTGCACTGTAACTGGATCCCCAGCAGATTTAGTTGTTTAAACATCATCTGTATCACCAACATGGGGGTATTTGCATTGTACCAAAAGTAGAGGCTGAATTTCAACTGTTTTACTTCATGCTGTTACACCTACTTAAAAGACAGTCTGTAGCACCCAAGGCAGTAAGTTAATATCAGATAAATCTACAGGGTACCAGTTTCCTTTTATTTGTGGCAGATGTCTAGTTGCCCTGCTTGGGGTATAACATATTGATCCAGCAAGAGTATTGTTTTTGGAAGAACGGTACATCTATTACCTTCCTTGTCATATGCAAACACTTATTTCCTGCATTAAGCCTTTTGAAAAAAAATCATTACACTGCACCATGAGATAGCAAACAATGGTAGATAATCAAATAGGGATAAACAGGAACATAATGTCATACTAGCGTGAGAAAGTTAGCGGTTCACATGACAAGAGCTCACCTTTCCCACGGTAAAGTTTCTGCTGCCAATTAACTTAGTGCTGAACTACAGGACAAGTGCCAGCTACTGTGGGAACCAGTACTGTACAACATTTCAGATTACACTCACTGCTGCTGAATTAGGTTATAGTTGTTAGAGGTATTCACTGGCTGCCACTTACTTGAGTTAATCTATTACTTTTAATATTTTATGTTCAACCAAATAGCACCCATTGAAGACAAACCAGGCAGGAAGTATAAATTTAGTCATATGGAAATCTAGACTGGAGGCCCAGCAAACACCAGCAAGTCTGAGAATTAACATATAGCAACGATGTTTCACAGTGTCTTATTTCAATATTAATGGGGTCTCCTCAACCTCTTTTGCCCATCTAGAAGTGCTATTGTCCTCTGACATGGGTCCATAAATTTAATAGTCACATTAAATGTCATCTCTTCACTTGCTAGACAATAAAGGTTAGCATGACAACAAGCTACTCAAAGCCTTGCATTCTAGCATTGGGAGGGAGCAAGTGTTTCCTGGTTCCAATATTGGCTCTGATCTATGCTACCAACCCAACAGGTTGAGTGGCACCACCAATCCAACCAATTTCTTTCATTCCCTGGACAACTCAATCTCTGGCCTGCCAATAATAATGGGTTATGGCTCAGGTGGCAACCTGCTAATCTTCCCATTTTCTCCAGC